TCTCAAATGCAATCTTACTCACATCATCCTGTATTCATTTTAAGTATAGATGAGTATAAATGGTTTACTTTTATCTTGTTCTTGTTTCTGCAGTTCAGTGCAATTAAATTGCGTTAATCAGGTTTAGCAAGTTTGACAGGCAGGAACACCACCACAGAAACTGGAGTTTTACTTGGTTGAACACATTCCTTATTAGCCAAATTAAAGGAAGATAGAGTGTAACAGCTTAACCTTTAAGCCACTATCTCAATTATGTGTTGGATTCAATAAACCCTGGTGTCATTCCAGATTTCAGAGCACTTATCTAACATTCAAATGGCCTTTGATTCAAAATATCGTGATTTTATCTGTTTTTCAATAGTTGCAAATCAGGCAACAGGTGGGGCAAATGGTGCCAGCTAGAAGCGGTCCAGGTCATTTTGTCGGGTGAGGCAAAAAATAATGCCCCATCTACACACTGCATGTCTAACACAGCTGAGAACTGAAAGCTAGCTTAGGAGATACCATCTATAATCCTGTTGCCTCATCAATCCATGACACGTTATTAATATATTATTGTAGTAATCGCATATAATAATCAGAACCAGAATTTTTCAGATAGTGATGAATTCAAACTTCTGTGTATTGTAGACCTATAAATCAAGGCTTCAAAATTCTCGACAACCACTAGATGGTAGCAAAGGGGTTGAGTTTTCTGTATTTCTTGGCAGCCATCTAGGGGACACCTGGATAAATTCAGCACAGATCTGGTAGTCCTAAGGGGTAGTATTTCTGATCCAGAATTTTGCTCTTTAAAAGCTGCATGATTTCATAGTTTTTTTTTTTAACGCATAACATACTGGAAAACATTAAATATGGGCATTCTATCATATTTGATTTGTTGACAGATGAGGAAAATTGAAACTGTTCTCTTATAAGGGACTAAAACTTAAAGAGGCTTTTAAAAATTACTATTTTTCAATTTCATCTATTACAGAATAACAAAAGTTAGATAGGTCACATTTCTTTTGCCCAAATAAGAATCTTAAGGTACAACTGAGCAATAAACCAGACAAACACCATTACTAAAATGCGATTGAGGGTGAAAACTTCCCTTGAGGAAATAACGTAGCCCACTTCTTTTGTTGCTTAGGAACTTCCAAAACTACTTCCATTCTTCAATTTAAATCAATCACATTTTCACATAGTAATCTGGCTGACCTCCTGCAATTAAAAAAAATTAATAAAAAGGCATCTTTTGGAACTTCTGGGTTTTTTTTTTTAAAAACAACAACACTAAAGATCCCAGAAAAAGTTAAAGAATGTTTGCTTAAACAAGCAGCAGATGGCACAACGTGTAGTTTTACATGTAGTGCAAAATGGAATTTAATTTCTGAACAAACAAAACTGGATGCAGAATTTGAAGAATGTTCTGTATCTTCCTAAATCTGCTTTACTTTGCTTTTTAAAAAGTGGCAGCTAAAATATTTGCTTTGGATAATGAAAGATTTGCACTCTGAGAAAACAAAAGCCATTTCAGGGAGAAAGGCACCAGCTTGACAAAGCAGCAATATAATTAAACATTTGGAGACAGATAGGGAATGTAAAGAAAGAAAAACATGCTCAGTCTTGCTATTGGGCCTCCTCCTGTTACGAAGTAAAGATTTTTCTATTCACTTTACTAGATTTATGAGATTGTAAAAATTAGTGCAGCAGCCTGGAACTGGCAAGATGCTGGAAGTCAGTTAACCTTGGGATAAAAGTCAACATTTCTGTATTGGCCAGAAATAGTAGTATCTCCATGATACATTATTTTGATAGCAATCTTTAGTGCAAAATAATCATCTTGACTGCATGGTTGCTGTTCTTTATCAACTTTGGTCCATATTATCAGCTTTCCCTACCCTGGTATGTTCCAGATTATTTTGAACCACAAGTCCCATTTTCAACTTTGATTTTCTGCATTATCTCAGAGAATACAAAGCATTCATGATCCAGAAATAAATTAAATCACTCCACTCTTATTCCTGTCTTTTCAATTACTCTATGGAAGAAACAAAAAAGCATGTGTGACCATTTTAGAAGGACACTGCTCATTAACCAGAATTAATTTACACTCATTTTAGAGTCCAGTCAACTAGAAGTCTCCAAAAGATATATCACAGCTGACCAACTTCTGCTGCGTTATGGGAACAGTTATAATATATGCTAACTACAGATGAACAATAGGCTGGTTCCCAGACACTGTACAGGAGGAGTTCTCCATATGATAAATAATCATCCATTATTGCCATGGATACTTAGAAATTAACTCTTCAACATGTTACCTACTACAGATATTTTTATTATTTATTACCAGCTGTGATCAACTGCTTTAAAAGTTTGTTTTAAAAGCATTCCTGCAATTATATTTTCAAGCACTACATTCAACTTACATTATTTTAATTATTAATATTTTACTAATCAAGAAATTAAGAGAAATTTTACAAGACAAGGAAGTACAAGTTTTAATATATTTGAGTGTAACACGTATTGCCTTACTCGATTACCATTCTTCAGCAGAATACAAACTGACTCTAAGACAAAGAGTTTTAACATAGTGTAAAGTTACTGAAAAAAAAAAGTAGTAACAAGATGAAACATCAGCAGACAACAATTCCATAAAAGGCTATCCAGACATACTAATATTTTGTTCGTGGACAGATCTAAGAAGATTGCAACTGCATTTTCGATTGCATGCACAGAGCATGGTATTCAAAGCTATAAAACAAAATACTTTGCCAAAAGCAATGTATTGGAACTTCAGAATATGGAAGGTTCAGAAAGTTAGCTGGCTGCAGAACTACATCCCCAAATAAGTGAATTAAGTGAAAAAAGCAGAGACACCCTAGAATCAAGCTTAACTCTGAATGAATATCTGAATACATCTATGGAGATATCTAGGCAACAGTGTGAAGGCGGTTTGCTACTGCCTTCTATGGGACTGTTATCAACTTATACTCTATCTTACAGCCCCTGGGTCTCCCATCCAAACACAAACCTGTCAGACCCTGCTTAGCATCCAAAACTAGACAAGGTTAGTCAGATGTTGCCATGTGAATTTTCAAATTATGCATGTGCATATTAATTACATGTAAACTAACATAAAACTAACAGGGGTTTTTTTTGGAGACTAGACTCCAAATTTTTTTCTTTTCTTATTAATTTAGCTTAAATTAAAATCAGAAAAAGAAACAAGATCAATGGGATTTGAGTTATATTACGCTTCAAATTTTGATTCCAATCTTTTCTTATATACAATGTCAGCTTTAGGGCCATCAAATGAATGTACAGAAGAGTACAAGAAGTCTTTTTAAAAGATACAATATTGAATAGAGATAATAATCTTAGAAGTTAATATCATAACTCTTTTTTTTGTAATGGCATTCTGATCAATCTGTTAACAAAGAGACTTATCAAAAATCTACATAGGAATAGGTTTTATAAACTGAATTGAAACAGTTAAAATTACAAATTAGCCCATTATAGTTTTTTTAAATCCGTTCAATTGTGTCTGATTCTTGGAGACTGCCTGGACAAGTCCCTGAAGTTTTCTTGG